ATACTGCGGAAGCGAATGCTTCCAGGAGAGTTGACACATGTTCTGGACTTGCCGCAGAGCACATCAAGGGGATTGGGTTGCATCATTGAGAATCTCTCTTGTTGTTGTTCTTCCGGAAAATGCTGGAGTCGATGTCTTGTTGGTTGTTCGTCAATTGCTGTGTAGATTTCGACTCTGTTGGTGATCATGTGGGGATATTCTCGGGTGTGGCGTGGATGTATCTTTGGAGTTGTATCTTTGGAGTTGTGAGTGCTGATGGACTGATGTTTTGTTTTTGCTTTCGTCGAAATTGTGAGCTGTCTCTTCTTCTCCATCCGACTGTTTCCCCGCCTTTTGGTGATAAGGCGAGCAGACAACGCAGCACCGCCACAAGGAGTCTGGGCTTCATTAAGTAAAACGAAAACGGGTTCAAGAAGCTTGATCAGAGACCAGAATTCTACCTCTGAAGCTTCCCTTGTGAGTTTTATTATTTAACAGAGAGACATCCTGTTTTGATAGACGACTGTGGCAAGAGCTGTGGCAAGACAAATAGGATCGATCACAGACGATCCAGTTTGAGGTGCGGTTGATGTGCTACCGGACGCTTGTTAGCCAGCCGTGCGCTTACCGGTGTGTGATTCAACCCGGGAGTGCTGAAGCGACTAGAATTTCTTTAGGATCGATCCGGGGATCTTTGGATCGATCCAAAACAATCTTCAGTAAAAGATCCAATACTGCAGTGCTTGTAGCTGTTTCTCCGAAGAAACAACAAGTCGACAAGGAGGTGCTTATAACAGGCATTTTCTGTGACACCGTAAGATTCTCTCACAAGGGGACTCGAAGATCCAGATCCAACGAAATCGCTGCTGGTTAGCTTGGATTCGGAACAACTCGGGTGGCAGTAATAACCGTTCGATTGCAGCGTATCGGTAATCGGTACCATTGGTGGTGTCCTTTAGAATCTACGGATCTTAACAATTGAGACGCTATCTCTCATTGTCATCGAATAAGTATCCTGTAGATCAAATCCTAGCTAGAGTCGGTGATTTGCTGGTTAGGAAAACCGAAGTATCTTTTGTTAGAAGTTGGAACTTTGGTGCGTGTGGCCACTTCCTGGCTTCTGATCCTACCGGTATCAGATTCTCTTGGTTGCTCTGAAGACTGACTCCGAGTTAAGTATCCAGAAAGGACATATTCATCTTTGTTTTTTAAGAAACTCTCTTGATAGCTCTCCTGTGAATACGGTACATGGCTTGCTGCAGATGGTTAGAGGTCATAACTGAACTGCAGCCACCATAGTACGCACATGTAGTATCTGAGCGAGAGATGATTCAGCCAGGGAAGAGCAAAAGGACAATGGTTCAGCCCGACACTGGCTGCTTCCCAAACTTTTGCTTCCATCTGCATAAATCTGACAGAACTGGTTGCTAGCTAGTGGCTTCAGAGGGGGGCTTAAAGAAACCAAAGAAAAAGTGGAGCTCCTCTGGTCCAGCAAGAAATGTATAATATTGCTGCCCCTTTAGGCTAGCTGCCAGCCACGAGCCGGCGTTCGTTCCAAAAAGGGAGAGTGTATCGTTAGCTTGTACTCATAGCTTACTCATTGAGCACACCCGAAAACTCTCCTGTGATAGTTGCAATCAGCCAGAAATGCATCTTGACAACAAAAAAACTCGTACAGATACTCTTTGCATCGTGCATTGTGTGGTGACGAAATTGAGAGTCGTAGTTTGAAAGTGGAATACCATTCAAAGACACGAAGTCTGTCACAAGAAGTTCTCACTCAAGGTCTGTCAATGATAACTAGCTAGCTAGAGCAAGATAAAGCAAACTCAGCCTTCATGCTGAGCCCTGGGTGAATGCAGAGGCGGAGGTACAATCGTACCCGCTAGCTACTAGTAGGCGAGGCAGCAGGAAAGTGTCGCAAAAGTTGAATTTGGGGACTGTTGAATTGACTTTCTGGGGTATTATTCAACACTGTTGAACTGTTGAAAAAAGTGTTGAATAATGTGTTGAATAAAGTGTTGAACATTATTCAACAGGTGTTGAATGGATTCAACACTTTATTCAACAGCAATTCAACACCTGGTTCAACAATCGCTCATTGAAACGGCTAGTATGGCACAACACATTCAACACTTTATTCAACAGCAGTTCAACAGTTGTTGAGCCCGATTCAACACTTTTTTCAACAGTTGTTGAAGCCTTTTTCAACAGTTTTCCCCTGAATTCAACAGTCACTTCAAGAATTAAACACAAAAATGACGGCAACTCGCCAAAATTCAGCATTTGCCACACTTTCCAGCATAATCATATAGGTAAAGAAGTCAATACGGGCGCAGTAAGGCTCCTCTTGACAGCTCTAATGGTTTAAAACCCAAGCGTTTGCTTCCGCATCAGCGCCCGCATGGCTCGAAGTTTGTGGTTTCGGTTTGCTTTGCACTTTGACATCATCCTTTCGTTGTTCTTGTTGAGCCCACCACACAATTCAGGTCCAATCAAACTATCGGCTCGTATTTCCATCGGCTTTTTTTAATTTGAGCTTGCAAATGAGGTTGTTGTGTCTCTTTGTATTTGTGGGAGCGACGCCCACCGTTGTATCGTTGCTGTGGCGTTGCCTCGCAGCTTGTGCTCCGAGGTTTGGCTTCCGCAACGATGGAACGGTGAACTTCAATCCCATGCCAATACGGAAGTTGCCTGGTGATACGATATTGATACGGTCTTATCAGGAAGAGGCGTTGCGCGGACTCATGCTGCTTGCTTTGTTTTCTTGTTTACCCTCTTCTAGGAACCTTGAACCCTGGCAATTTGATTCCCTGGGGATGACCACGGAGTTGCTACGAAGAATGCAGCGGAGATGGACACAACCACGCCAAAAACCTGCTGGACGATTGATGAGGGGAGATGAGCAAAGAGATGAGCGAATGGATGGCATAATGCAAAGACGATCACACACACAATTCTGAAACGAGCCAAATTCGCTACCAAGAGTCGGAGAGAGACTTGGAGGAAGTTGTATCCCTTTAATCTCTGTTGGACGACTATCAGAGTGAGACCGCGAAGGAACAACTGCTCTTGCCTTTGGAGTCATGCTATTTGACCTGACGTAAGGAAGCAAGAAAGTTTGCTTCCGCTAAAGATGACATCCACGTGAATGTTGCTACAGGTTTAGTTGTCGGGTTATCTCAAACTTAGCCGTACCAGTACGGTATCTAATCTAATCCACTTGTTGGTTGGCCTCTCGTTGCTCTTTGGAGGCTCGACTTTGTTCCAATCGTTTTCGCGACTCAACAAATGCCGGACGTCGGAGCGCTTCGTCTTGAAACAATGGCTTGTAGACATCGGGCAGATACTCACTTTCCGAGCCAGGAGCGGTCTTTTCCACACTGACTTGCAAGGCTCCCACGGTAGTACCATCCTCTTGACGCAATAGGACTCTCAGGTCACTCCCCGGTCGAGGACACACCACGGTGTTATCATCATCTGTTTGTTGTTGTTGTGGTGGTGGTGGTGGTGTGAGTACATGAATGACATTGGACCCATCTCCCAATTCCTCGGGTGGATTGTCGGCCAATGCCTCAATGGCGGCATGAATGGATGCTTCAATGGATTCCAGTTCTGCCATGGTCTGCCACTCCTCTTCCTCATCATTGTTGTCATCATCATCATTATCGCTGCTATTGTTGCCACGAAATTGAAGCTCCAGAGACAGATCATTCAAATTTCCCTCCGCCATGGCAGCCCCAAAGTCCATCCATTGATAGGCTCGTGGGACACTGTTGAGTCCCCGGTTGCGATGCTCTTCCGCCAATGTGAGATCAATGGCTGGTAAAATGTGTCGAATGACGCCATTGCGCACGTGAATCCCGACGGCCAGTCGACACGTGGGCAATTGCAAGTCTTGTGGTTGCCAGAGCTCTTCCAGAGAATGGGGAGGGACGAAACCATGACTGTCGGGAATCCGCGTCCAACTTCTACCATCCAACACAAATGTGGGCCAGTTTGCCACAAAGGAAGCCGGTAATCGGTCGGGAATGTCGATGAGGGGATTGGTCAACTCGACAAAGGGACGTTGTTGTGGCGTCGAAGAAGAAAACGCCTGAATGCCCATCCACAGCTGCGAAATGGTAACGGCCAGTTGGAGGCCGGTACTTGAAGAGGAAGGCATTGTTAGCAATAGTACCGGGTGCGGTCGTCAATGTCAACCAATTGTCAAAGAAAATGAGGAGACCGAGTTGGAGAGTGGACATTTGGTTGAGCGGCGCCTAAGATGTGTTGTTGGGTACGTCAGACCTGATTCACTGATTACTCGTACCCTGAGTCACTAGCTGCTAGGCTGCAAAAATGATGCGAAGCCCGAAGATCCGAAAGATCCTCCTTGCTTCCTCTTTCGGGCGGTCAAATGGGTATCTCCGTTCGGCAAAAGGCTCTTGACAGGTCTCCTTTATCTAGCTAGGTATTCCAGTTGTTCTCATAATAACAAGTTGAGAAGTGATTGATTGACTCCTACTATCACATAATGTGTTCCAAATCCAAGGTCAACGATGCCCTCCAGGGAGTAACCGGCAGCAGCGGTAGCGTCGTCCCGTCCATTGCCGCCCACCAAGTCAAAGCAAATCGAGATGCCTACTTTTTGGTTGATGTACGAGAAGCCTCCGAGATTTCCGAAACGCCCTTTCCCGATGCGAATGCGGCGATTCCCATGGGCGCCATTTGTCACGATCCCTTCGATCTAGTGGCACTCGCCGGCACAGACAAGACCATTGTCACGGTGTGCAACACGGGTGTCCGAGCCCAAATTGCGGCAGAACACTTGCCAACGTCCTCTGCCAAAGTCCTGCAACGGGGATTGGTCGGTTGGGGCAACCCCGCGGCATTGTCCCCCGATTTTGTGGTCGTCTTGGGATTGGGCGATTCTCCCGAAAAATTGTCCTTAGCACTGGCGGCGGCCGCGGCGGCGGTGGACATGCATTCCACCGTCGTGGTCGTATTGATGAGCGACGGCGTGCATTGGTTTTTGAAACCCGACTCTGAAAAGGCTAAATCCGTCGACACTCCCAATGTCGAAACGGTGGAATTCGGAGCTCCCTTTAAACCCTGCAAGGCCATGCTGCAGAAAATTTTATCCAAAGGTGGCATTATTTTGGCTTGTACCAGTTGTATCAAACATCGACAATACTCCTTCGAGACCGACATGATGGACTGTGTCAATTCTTTGCAGATGCCCGATTTGGTTCGAATGTTGGGAGAAGCCAAGGGAGGGACTCTGCAATTCATGTAAACACCACCACCACAGCACCAAAGAAGCAGAGCATCCATGGCTAGTTAAAGCGGAAGATGAAGTGTTATAGTAGTTTAGTTAGTAACTGAATGTATGTCATCATCAGCAGTCCCATGTACCTATGTGGTAGCTCTCGGTTGCTATACTCTTCCGTCTAACAACTGTTTCAGTATTAGTGCGGGTCGACGGTATCTTTTCCAACATACATATGTGGTTTATCGGTGATGGCAGGGCTGTGGAGGTCTTTGAGGCGTTTTTAGTACTTATGTTCTCTATTCCACAGGCCGCATGCGATCTTGCTTGAGACGTTGTTTCGTTGGAGGTTTCCTGTTTTGGCAATGTTGGAGGTTTCCTTGGCTGGTGAGCTGCTTCATGCCTCTAGTACGACTGTAGCTAGCGGTACATGTAGCTAGTTCCTGTTTCTGGCTGCTTCTATCCGCTGGGTATCTTCTGAGCGTCTTGAGAATTGTTGGTCTTCAAGTCTGTTTGTCTCCCGACTTTGAAGTGCTTTAGATACCGCGGAGATGTCTGGCCAAAAGGCAACGAATTAGATAGACTTCACAAGTGTAGCCGCGAGGGCGCAAACATGGGGAACTGAAAATGGAGCGATCCAGGTAGAAGGGGCTGGCATAGCTACTACTACTGAGTACCAGTACATGTTGTGCCGGAAGCACTGCAGAAGGGGTGTTCAGAGGAGAGAAAGTACCGCTGCCGGAACTATCAACGTCGGTTTTCTACAACAAGAGCCGGCCTCTCTATTAGCTAGCTCAGGCTTCAGACCAAAGATGATATGATGACATGGAACTGTCTCTCAAATCACATCTCTGGTAAGGAGGACGCGATTCGAAGTGCCAGCAGCGGCTTTGCCGCGAACGCGCCAAGATATGTTTATGTTGCTCTACATGTGTTGTCGTCTTTTGGTGTGCTCCAGTACATACAGTACGGCACTGTCACATTCGGTGGATCAGGGACGGACAAGTATGACGAGTTTACAGTATGAGGTTACTTTTCTGTCGCATACTAGTACGTTGTGTGTGAATTGGGTCCTTGAGATTGTTTTTGAAAAACGCAATGGAGAGACATGCAATGGTGATGATATTGATTCTGAACTGTTGCCGTGTGTGCAAGTGTTGCATGACACATAAAGTGTGGCATGCATTAGGCGTAGGAAATAAAAAAAATGGGCTGATCTGGTCTGTACTGACCAGCTTCAATGTTCCCAGTGGCGATAACCCGGTGTTGATGACCCTATAGATCCTCGTTTGGGTCCACATCAAACTCGTAGATTGGTTGCTGCATCATGGAGAGAACAAGATTGTCCAGGGGGTCGGAGAAATCCTCCAAACCGAATTGTTCGTCATCCTCTTGGTTGGTGCTGTTTGCAACATCCGGAATGTTTACCAAACTGGGAAGAGGACATGGCTCCATCAAGGGATGGAGTGCTGATGGTGACCAGATGCCGTCTGATGGTGACCAGATGCCGTCAATGTCCTCGATGTTGCTGTTTTTATTGTGGCCGTTAGAAGAAAGGTTGCCGTTGCTATTACTGTTGATTGCTGTATGGTTGTTGATTGCCGCACTACTAGAGGTACTAGCAGCGTTGGGCGGTCTGATTTGGTGCTGTTGGTGTTGCGTAATGGTCATGGAGGCGGCGAGCGCATTCATCAACGAGTTGACTCCCGAGGAAGCCGTGGCAGCCGACTGGACGGACACTTCCGAGGCAATGGAAGCCAGAGATGCGGCCGAAAAGTCGGAACCAACTCTTCGATGCCCTCTCTTGTTCTTTCGTCGTTTCTTTTCCGTATTGGTGACATTGTTGACGGCGAACCTCAGCGCATGACCAATTTTCTGTGATCAATGTTGGATAAAAGTGAGAAAACGCAAAAGTGAGATCGCAGGCTTTATCAACTAACTGGATTGGCTGGCTGGCTACCGTAGCTAGCTAGAGCTGCGACCTGGTAGCTTGAGCCAACTTACATCGCGAGCCGCCAGAGCGGATATCTCTTCCCACGCGTTCTCCTTGTCATTAAACTTGAGGAAACGAGATGTTGTCTTGAGGTGTTCATAAAGCGCCTTGGTCACTTGCATCTTGGCATACTTCAGAAATGCAAAAAGAGCAACAAGGTTCATAAGTTAGAAAGGAACCACCATGGCCAGATTCCAAAAACACGACACAGTCAAGACGCTCACCTTGGTGTCGGCTTGGATGTACCGTTGCGTGTAGCTGTCCACGACCATCTGATACCGAATGGTACCTGGGTGGCTGATGATTTGCTTCGTCTTGCCACAGAGGACATCGAGGTCCGTAGGTACAATCTCGCCCGTAGCAGGAGGTGTTGTTTCTGCTACGGGTGCAATGGGTGCAATGGGTGGGGATGGGGCCGTCATGGTGGGGTTCCTTGTGAAAAGAGAATGATCGAATCGGTGTGTGCGTTGTCGGGGTGGTACGGGTATTGTAGCTGGTACCAGCTATTATTTGTTGTGTCGTGTTGTGGGGAACAAATAAATTTGTGGTTCCTTTCGGCCCAAGACATCGATCTGGCTCGCAAATCCGAACCCTCGGAGTGTGCTTCACTGTTGCTTTTTGACTGGAGCTTTCTCTCTACTTTTTGCAAGAGACGGACCCACTCCGTCCAGTTTTTGCGGAAGCCACAAAACCTTTTTTTCACAAGACAGTCTGTGAGGGAGGCATGGTAAAATCGATTGTTTCTTTAAATCTTCAATGTTTTTAACCCCAAATTTACCTTAACCACAACTACAGAAAATCTTGCTGGACCTTGTCCTCAAAATCTCCAGTGATAGTGGTTGGAGTTGACATGAAATTCGGTGCGACATTGATCTCGTGTTTGATTTGTGTCTGAGGAAACCACAGCAAACCATGTTCTGCGATCACAACTACGTGCTTCCAGTACCAGCGTTACCGGTATTGGTACTGGCAAAAAAAGTGTTCCCCACTGCATTTTTGGGCATCCGTGTTTCTTCCAAACCATGAGACAATGGGGAACACTTTTTGACAACAATGGGGAACACTTTATTCAGTACTGGAGTAAAACCCTTTACCGGTAGAAGATCGATACCTGCACGCACGGTCTCCTACCGGTACAGTAGGAGCAATAGGTGGGTGGTGCAGAAGGGGGCAGTAGCTTTTTTGTGTTGGCTTGAAGGAAACCAACGCTGCGGCAGCTACCGTATGGCTACCAGCACTAGCTAGTAGCCAACTACATGCATGTAGCTGCACTTGTGTAGTGTGTGTACCCAGCCTTTCCTGGATGGGCAAACCGAAAACAAGAGCTCAAACTCGATCGTTGTCGTAGGCTACTAGTACGATACGGTATTCTTCTATGATACCATGTAGAGACCACTCCTGTCGACAACCTTGTTTGTTTGCCTCGCAGGGTTTCATATTTTTCCCGTCTTCTCTAAAAAAACATGTACGAACATGAGTACTGTAGCTACTAGCTAGCTACTGTAGTAGATAGTACTCGTACCGGTATCCCCTGCTACCAGCGTGCTCTAAGATTTAATGCATACTACTAGTAGCTAGCTACTTTTCTGTGGAATGTGAAAATTACCACCTCGCCACTTCCCCGGAAAGATTTAAGAGGCATTGAGGATTCTCCAACCGCACGGAACAAGTTTTGACATTAGACAATCGGTAATAGATATTAAATCTTGGAGTCTGGCTCCGATTATTTTAGCCACCCACAGCAACAGCAGCAGCCACCACACTACAACACAACAACAACCACCATGACGGCATTGTTGCCGTTCATGCGTCGTCTTCGCCTTCCTCCATCTCTCGGACAATGTCTTCTTCCTCTTCAAAGACATCTCCATCGCCGACAATGTCCGGCTCGTCGGCTTCGTCGTTCCTCAAAGGAGACTGAATCACGATGGGCACAACCACCTTGCCTCTTGCTTTGTCGACGAGAGTGTTGTCACCATTTGCTGCCAGAATCAGCCGTAGCACTCTATCCCACCGCTTGTAAATGTTTCGAAACGGTCGATTTGAGTCGTAGGTATCCCAAGCCTCTTTGCACTTGTCTTCGTCCTGGTTCGATGCAGTTTCTCCACCCAATTTTGTAGACCCATCCAAACACCAAGGTCAAGCAAATTCGTCTCTGGACTCCGCGGCACTTGTTGCAGCACCGTCACGTTGTAATCATCTTTCAGCTGCTGAACATACTCATCAATACAATCCCTTGTTCCATGGCCACCAGCATTATCCATGACCAGATAGATTTCTTGTTCCGCCGGAACCCAGTGATACGCCTCTCTGATTGCTTTTCCAATGCTCGTCATGTGGAGTGCCATGAACTTGGAATCACAGGTCACATCTT